AAGAGGGTCTACCCTAGCAAACCTTTTGTATCATTACCCCAATACCCCCATGCATATGGGATATATTGAGTATGGTGATCAGATCATGATATGAATAAACATAACAGTTTAAATAATGCACCAATAAGGCCTTTTCGCGAACCACCATGAAAATTTCGGGGGGGGGGGCTGAAGCCCCCCGAGCCCCCCCCCCCCCCGGCTACATGCCTGCTCCAGGTGAGATCTGACTAAAGCAGAATAGAGTGGGACTATGACTTCCCTCAATCTCGGCACTATACTCCTACTGATGAAACCTAGAATCTCATTGGCTTTTTTAGCTGCTGTGTCACGTTCAGATTGTGGTCAATTAAGACTCCCTGCTCCCTTTCACATGTACTGTTCTCAAGCCAGGTGTCGTGCATACTTTCATTTTTCTTGTCAAAGTGTAGTACCATACATTTCTCCCTGCTAAAATTCATTTTATTACTTTTGGTCCAGCTCTCTAATCTGTTAAAGTCCTTTTGGATTCTGATAGTGTTCTCTGGGGTATTAGCTATTACTCCCAATTTTGTTCCTTGGCCATATACATACAAACCACATCCACACATGCCTCTCCAGTGGTGCACATGTGTACACACATACAGTGCATGACTTCATACACATTGCAATCTGGCTTCCAAAAATCTTTCCATTTTTAAGCTTAATTGATACATGGAGTAATGAAGCCAGTCATTCTTACATGACTCATTTTTCCATCTTTGAGGCAAAATCAAGGCACTGTTAAGTTTTGCATAGCAATGAATCAGGGAGAAAGGGTTAAAATCGTTTCCCTTTTTCCATGCCTTTTGGTTTAGTTTAGTTTGAAGGCTCTGCAGCTGCATTTTGTAAAGTAAACAGTATAATGTATAGTTTGTCCTAGATAAGCAGCTGCACAGTGAAAAGCTCCTATAGGCAAGAACTGACCAAAGCTCAGGGGGAAAAACAATAATTATAAACCAGCATGCTTCTTATGGCATGATCTACAGCTTAATAGTCATCAGGAGTTTGTTGAAGTGGGACATAGCCCTTAAAAGCTCATGTTATAAATGATGTACTTTGCCTTACTACAGCAATCACACTCAAGAGTCTCGTAGGACTGAAAATCCTAACCCAGCTGCCTCTTTTGGAAAGGTTATTTCAGATAAAGCAACCTCTGCACGGCATATATGTTTTGCTCACTTTTGTAATTCACCTGTTCCTGCTGTGAAATGCATATCCCTGGTTCAGTTGTATGATTGTCAGGTACTGACCCTGGCTCTCCAGTTTTCATTAATCATCTCCATGCTTTTTTAAAAAGGTGCAAATTCTTGTTTGGTTGGCTTGGTGGTAAGCAAGAAAACAAGGCCATGTGCAAATATCCAATTCAGCTTATATGGCTCAGTTGATATCATTGCGACATGCAAACTCTCCAAGGGATCTATGCATTTACTTAGCTTCCTCCTTTCCTCCCATCTAGCTTCTCACTAGAACTCAGTAGAATTAAATGTTCCTAATTCCAACTCCTTAAACAAGTAAGAGGAAATTATCTCATTTCCTCTTTATCAAGGAATGCCCCCCCCCCCATTAGTTTGGATATGTGTCTTAATTTCCGAAAGGGAAACATAGATTTCTCTGTTGTGCTTGGTTTACAAACCATGAGCTTAATCCGTGGCCGTTCCTGGGTCTCTGGTTTCGGCCTGGAAATCTCAGTGTCTGGGGCAATCCTGACAAACACTGTCAAATATATTTTAATCATAATTTTTTTGTTTTAGCGGTGTATATGCTTGTTTTGTTGGATATATGTTTATTTGGCATCAAATTGTACCTTTATGTGAGCCGCTCTGAGTCCTCTCCGGGATGAGAAGGAAGAGGTAAAAATATTGTAAATAATAAATAAATAAATATTGGGCTAAAATCTTTTTCTATATAGACTGTAGAAGTCCTAGCCCTTGAGTGCTCTAACTGGAGGTCAACTGTGACCAGCAGTGCTGCAGAATTCAAAGATGCACAAATGGAGGGTGAACAGCAGAAACATGCCAAGAGGAAAGCATGTCAAGCCAACCCTGAACGGGAATGCCTTCCATCTGGAAACCGATGTCCTCACTGTGGGAGAACATGCAGATCAAGAATAGGGCACCACAGCCACCTATGGACCCACCGCCAAGACACCACATCTGGAAGACAATCATCTTCGAGCTACAATGGATTGCGTAAGTAAGTAAAGTAAGTTCACAGGAAAACAACAGTCAACTATCCCTGCCTAAGAAAACCCTAAAAATTCATGGATCACCATAAGTCAACAAGGGACTGAAAGGCAATTTTACAACCCATTATAAGCTATCAAGCATAGTCCCATTCTCAACCCACATTTGTCCTGGTTCCTCTTTTTAAGCATCCACCAATTGTCCTCATAGAGTCTAAAACAGCTGACTTGTTTCTATTCATAGATGTTACGAAGGAAGTACATTTGTCATCCCAGTATGGATCTAAGCAGAAAAACAATGTCTTACATTAAACCAAACCTTGGATGAAGAAAAGGCAACATTCATAATAGTAGTTTCAAATGAAGGATGGTTAAGAACACTGGTTCGCAACCTGTGAGTCCCCAGATGTTTTGGCCTTCAACTCCCAGAAATCCTAACAGCTGGTAAACTGGCTGGGATTTCTGGGAGTAGTAGGCCAAAACACCTGGGGAACCACAGCTTGAGAACCACTGGTTAAGAAGTTGGCTGAAAATATGCTCACAGTGGACTAAATCTCTTTTTTCAGAGCAAGAGGAAAATTGTAGTCTTCCTATTTTATCCTAATGGATATGTTATGACTGTGACAAGAAGTCAAACACCTATTCATGCAAGAATCATTAGTTATTTAATTCCTACATTAATGCAGAGATTCCAGCAGGAAGGAAAACAGCCCCGGACAATATCAACGTTTTGCCCTTAACTGATATTGATGGTTAACTTGTTCATATTTGCTGCTGCTGTTTTTCCGGTTCTCTTACTTGAATTTAATCAGATTTGATATATTGTTTGTTTAGCAACCTTGTGCCTTGTTCCTTCCTATAATGCCCTGTTGGCAGTAGCTCAACAGCAGCAGGCATTTCATAATTAATTTTGAGCTTCTTTATGGTTGCATTGTTATTTTCTTTGTATGGAAAAATCCCGTCTTAAAAATGTTATATTCGTGTTAAGAGGTTATTAATAAAATCCTTTTGAAATGAGGCTAAGGCATCTGTGCAGTCTGGAAGTCGGTGCCTGAGAGACTGCTGGTCTAACTCCACTGACTCAAAAAGTTGGATGACCTAGTCAGGGTCTTTGTCCTCTCTGCAACTAGACCTTCTGTAGCAGAATATCTTTCTCTAAAGTATATCTTGGCCTTAATCCTTCCTATTGCTAGTCCCAACAAGATTAGGCCAGACCAACTGAATCAACAGGATTTAGATGCATGTTGAATCAATATTCAATGGGTTAATTGGGATTAACAGTCCTCGTTTTGGAGAAAGCAACTATCCTTATCAAAACATCTCTCCAATCTCTTCCTGCAAGCATAAATGCAACAGCATCTGACTGAATCAAGATTGCTTAATGAAAAGGAACTACCCTAATATAAAATAGTCTGTAATCCCACATGCCTCCTGTTGAAAGAGCCAAATAGTAGGTGGCTAAGACCCTGGCAAAACAACTCCACTGGAAACATGTGGACTGAGTCATAGTATCAGAAAGTGGTGGAGGCTCCTTCTCTGGAGGCTTTTAAACAGAGGCTGGATAGTCATCTGTTGGGGGTGCTTTGAATGCAATTTTCCTGCTTCTTGGCAGGGGGTTGGACTGGATGACCCACAAGGTCTCTTCCAACTCAATGATTCTATGATAGTTGGAAGAGGCCACAAAGATCATCCAGTCCAGGGTGGAGGCCCACAATTCACGGGTAATACTGGCTGCTTCCATCTCAAAACAAGGGGTGGAAAGACCACTTCTTGTCCAGCTTCCAATCCTTATTCTACTATCCTTTGTGTCCCAATACCCCTGGCAAGCCACAGACAAAACCAGGAATCAAATTGAATAAAAGGTGCTCAAAATCACCAGAAAAGCTGTAGCACCCTCCTCAATGTGCTATACGAATCCATTAAAAATAATACAAATTGACATGACATCTGGTTCCACTTTCTGCTTTATTGTGATACAGGATGCATCACAGCAAAGATATCTGCTCCTATGCTAATGACTGACTGATTAGGCACGTTCCAGGTTCACCCTCTTATACAAATCATAGGGTAAAGATTCCACCTAATCCTTAGGAAGAACTTCCAGATGGCAAGAGCTGTTCGATAGTGGAATATGCTGCCTGGAAATATGGTGGTCTCCTTCTCAGAAGGTTTTTAAGCAGAAACAGGATGGCCATCTGTCAGGGGTGCTTTGATTGTGCATTCCAAAAATGGCAGAATGGGTTTGGACTGGATGACCCTTGCAGTCTCTTCCAACTCTTGTCTACCATTGCTACACCACTGGTGACATTTCACCCCACTATAAGAACAGCTTTTTTCATGTCAGGAGTGGCTTGAGAAACTCTCTGATGTGAGAGAATTGTCTGTCTGTAAGGACGTTGCCCAGGGGATGGCGGGTGTTTTACCACACTGTGGGAGGCTTCTCTCATGTCCCCGTATGGGAAGCTGGAGCAGACAGACAGGAGCTCACCCTGCTCCCCGGATTTGAACTGCTGACGTTTTGGTCAGCAGTTCTGCTGGCAGTTCTGCTGGCACCCATTGCACCACCAGGGGCTGATCTCACCATAAGGCTGCTAACACAATATTTTGCTGTTTGAATCTGTTGATAAGTACAAACATCCTCTATAATTTCTAAATTTATTATGTGACTTCAGAAAGTACCTTTGTGAACAGTTAGACCTCCTACATCAAGTATTCAGCAAGTCTTGTTTGTTTAGTTGTTGGTAAGCATTTTAAAAGTATTCCAATTCAGAACGTAAGCAAAGACAAAGCCACAAGAAGCAACGTTTTAGTGAATGTATTTAGCTGCCTTTTACAAGACCATCTTTCTATGATTCAATGAATAACTGTATAAAAGTTTTTCAGCAACAGGATTAGTACAATCTGAGCAATAGCAATATGGCAACTTTTTGGCAACTGCACATAATTAACTCAAGTGTCTTTTTTTTTAAAAAAAAAAATGTAATTGTAAAGTTTGCCCAATTCCCTTATTTTATCCCATTTGCCTTTACTCGAGAATTTCTAGGGAAATGGAAGTGAATATTCAAGAGTACAACTCCAAGGAATACAACATTACAAAGACAGCAATAACTCATTACCAGAGGACAGGAGAACATAATGGCAAACTACTTTTGTGCAAAGCACAATCTACCAGGAATATGCTCTGCATGAGGCCCTTCAATTTTCAAAATTACACTTCATTTTAAGAGAGGACATGCAGAAAATGCTGCTGATAAGACTGTTTTACTTTAAAATCAGATTGAACCAAACTTAGGAGAGTTCACAGTGTGACTTGATTACTAAAGAAATATGCTTTCCTGTTAAAACACTGGGGGGGGGGGGGGAACCCAAAATCCAGAAATTTCTATAGCTTCAATATATGATTACAAATCACCATTACACCACAAACAGTTTTATTAAGTTGGGGTGTGTGTAGTTTTGGCAGGCAGGGTGCAATTATTTGCTGTGGTAAACCGAGGAATTCTTCCCTGTTATACAACACCTTGCCCATTCCCTCCCAAGGAAAAGCTGAAATTAAGATGGAAGTAAGTTGGAAATGCAACTCGACAGAATATAGCAACTAATGTTCTCAAACTCTGCACTCAGCTCAGGAATACTGCAGTGATGACTCAAGACACCAACTCCCTGATGAGTTTTTGCTTCCAAATGGCTATGTCTTGAGAGTCCATCCAGTTATCTTCACAAAGTTGACAGCATTGCAACTTACTTAACACCGTTATGTGCAAATGTTATGTATCAAGAAGATCTCAGTGTGTCTGTGTTTAACTTCCCTTTTTAAAAAATGGCTAAAAGCCTATGCTTTTCATTAGGAGCACCAAAAAGTGAAGCCACATAGGAAAGGCAGGTAACTTTGGTTGAACTTCAGTGAAAACTAGCCACTTGAGGAAAAAAAACTGGTCAAGAAAGAAGAGTCTGTAGAGCGAGCGTCATTGAGACCAACATCAGGAGATAAATTTACAGCGACTTGTCTGCTATCAGGCAAAGAGATGGTGACCAAAGAAAAATTTGGTGGTAATACTTTATAGCCCTGATAGCTACTTTTCATGATTCATCCTTTTCAGCATATATGGATTTGGTGGAGTTCAATTCTTAAATCAAGTTTTACACTTTCAAAAAGGCTATTATGTGAATGGAAAAACCTATTGGGTTCAGATTTCTCCTTCTTCATCCAGTCCTCTATCCTTAGTAGTAAATGTCTTGCTAATTCCATGGCTTATATGTACAGTCTCTAAAGATCACAATAAGCAGCATCTCTCTTTAAAACTTTTCTTGTTCTTGCTGCTTTTCTTGCCATTCTTGTCTTTGTTTTCTGACATCTTCTTGGCTCTAATCTCTCTCATCAAATCAAAAAATACCTGAAAGAAAGACATTTTTTCAGTAAATAACAGCATTTGTTACTGATTTTTAATATAAAACAGACTTTTTCACAGCTGTTTCGATTAAATCTAAATGTGACAACTATGAAAAAGATAAGCAATAGATCTGTGTGAAATATTAGTTCCTCCACACAGAAGAGAAAGCGCCGTCTGTCAAGTTCATCAAATACAATTGTGTTACATAAAGATTATGATTATTACAGCGTGCATAGATTAGAGTTTAGGAATATTCATCAGGAAAAAATTCACAATCCCTCAGGAACTATTAACTGAAGAAACAGTCTGTACATATATTAATGCTAAGTTAAAGTAATTTAAGACCTTGGATTTACAACAATCCTAGGTAAAGATAAAGGTTTCCCCTAACATTAAGTCTAGTCATGTCCAACTCGAGGGAGGTTGGTGCTGTCCGGTGTTGTCCATAGACACCATCAAGGTCATGTGGCCAGCATGACTGTATGGAGTGCCATTACCTTCCCGCTGAAGTGGTACCTATTGATCTCCTCACATTTGCATGTTTTCGAACTGTTAGGTTGGCAGAAGCTGCGGCTAACAGCGCGAGATCACCCAGCCCCCCGGATTCGAACCACCAACTTTCCAGTCAGCAAGTTCAGCAGCTCAGTGGTTTAACCTATTGTGTCACCAGGGGGCCTCTGCACAATCCTATCATCCTGAATTTCCAAGAAACAGGTTTGCTTATTTTCAAATCATAAATAGTTTAAAGGTGATTGATATTATAGAAATAAAAGTTCAATGAAAAATCTGTTTGCTACAGCACATGAGAGAGAGAGAACTAAATTAGAGATGATATTTTTTAAAATTAGAGATGATATTTTTTATTATTATTAGGGAACTTTTGCTTATCATTAACCAGTCAATAGGAGTTATTCAGAACAGAGGGGCCACCTTTCAAATCTGTTTGGAAGCCAATTATTTGTTCCTAAAACAGCTGCTGGAAGACAAGTATCCCTGCAATTAAACTCATGGCAAGCCTTTATGCTTCATTAGTAAACTGCACACTGCTTGCAGGAGGCTCCTACTAAAGCTAGTTGACCCATGAGACATTCTACAATTGCAATTCAGGGGATAACTTTAAAAGGAAGAACAATGGCCAAGGAAACATCAGCTGTTTAGTAGGTTTTCCTTCAAGATCTTTGATAGTATCACAGTGCTGGATGGCTACTACAATGTCAATCCACAAATCCTCCATAATACCAGCAAAGCTTGCAAATGGACTTTGTCTCTTTCTCTCTCTTCTTTGTCCTTATTCTTCATTGCAGTTGGCAGTAGATGGGTTCTGGTTGCCAGATGCATTATTGGCAACTGCGATTATGGGATGCTGCTGAAAGCAAACACTTACTGTACCTTATCTACATTTGCACGGGTTTTGGCTGATGTCTCCACATACTGTACGCCCCACTCCTCTGCTTTACTTCTAGCTGCTTCTACAGGCACTTGTCGGCGGTCTTCCAAGTCTGATTTGTTTCCCACCACCAGCAAAGGGATTTTGTCCTCTTCGGCTTTTACACGCAGGATCTGTTCCCTGATAAGCATATTAAAAGCAAGAGGAGTCAGGTGGCCACAATAGCAATGTCTTTTAGAAGTCAAAATACGCACACATAATAAATCATATATTAGTAGCCACAGCTTGCCAAAGAATTATGACAGTACTTAAATTGCAACAACACACAAAGAGCCCTGCATTGGAAGCCAATGCAAATCCTGGTCCAGCTGCATTTAATGAATAAAAATATTCTTTAAGTGGAATGGGATGCTGGTTTTGCCTTCCAATTACTTGAGTTATTAGTTTTTTTAATAAAAAATGCCAATTTCAAAGTTAAAAAGCCAAATTAACAATAGAAAAGGAAGACTCCTTCTACAAAAGTAAAAGCCTTGTACATTTCAATCTTAGAAGAACAATTTATTGTGAAGATCTGAATTGACATAGCATTAATCCAGGGTTTTTGCTTAAAATAGCTATTACCTATAGACTTATTTTCAAGGTTTTGTCTTTAATGTACAAAGCTACAGGGAACCAAAACCTGCAGGGAACCAAAACAGCTGTGAATCTGGGTGAAAGGCAGACTGCATTGGATAATACAGAATGTTGGATGAGTGAAGCTTGGATAAGCGAGATTCTACTGTACCAAGGCTTTCATGTGTACTTCCCTTGCTCCATATGGCTACTAATGCATCCAGACTGATTTATTCTGATATAATAATAATAATAATAATAATAATAATTTCATTTGTTATCAGCCTCTTCTAACAGTTCAAATCAACAGTCAAAACACATCAACATAAAATACATACAACAAAATACATATATCACAACACAGGGTACACAGATTCTGGCTGTATAAAATGCCTCCAGCATTGCCATCATCAGTCCACTGGTCTATACAAACACATTCCTAGCTATGTTCAAAACTGGAAAACTGGTACAATAAAGCTCATCCCTTGCACTCAGTATATACTCTAACCACAATCCTAAGTCTTCGAGGGGAACACAACTGCATCCAGGACAAACTGAATCACTATTGGGCAAACTCCCACCTGATTTATCTATGGGCAGACAAAGCTCAGCAATATCTGCATACAGTTCTTAACTCTAGACAACATCTTCTGACATATAACATAAGTACTATGGGGAAAAGACTGAATGCAGAGGAATAGCAATTACAGGCACAAGATTTACGTGTTCTCCTGAAAAACAAACTGGAGAGGAACCTAACATGATTTTCCCCACTATGAAGAAGAGAAATAAAGGCAGCTCTTTAATTGTCTGGATTATCTGATCCAGATGAATTTAGTCTAGACAACTACCCCTTTTTGTGTGTGTGTCAGGAGCGACCTGAGAAACTGCAAGTCGCTTCTGGTGTGAGAGAATTGGCCGTCTGCAAGGATGTTGCCCAGGGGACGCCCGGATGATTTGGTGTTTTTATCATCCTTGTGGGAAACTTCTTTCATGTCCCCGCATGAGGATCTGGAGCTGATAGAGGGAGCTCATCCGCCTCTCCCTGGATTCGAACCCGCGACCTGTCGGTCTTCAGTCCTGCCAGCACAAGGGTTTAACCCACTGCGCCACCAGGGGCTCTCTACCCCTAATCTGACTATTACATAATTTTTCAAAACCTGTTCATGTTTCTATATTATTATTATTATTATTATTATTATGGGGGGGGGGGTTAGATCACATCCCATTTTGTTACACAATACATTGATTCTGATCAAAACAGAAACACAAAACTTGAATGAAAAAAACATATTTGGAAGAGATCCCTGCTTACCTAAACTCAGCTGTTGCTGTGAAGGATTCAGGCTCAGTTATGGAGAAAACTAGGAGAAAGCCCTCTCCACTACGGAAGTAGTTGTCTCGAATAGCTGCATAATCTTCTTGTCCTGCTGTGTCTAGAATATCTATCTGGACTTCTTCGCCATCAAGAACAACCTTCTTTCTGTAACTATCAGCCTTGGTAGGCTCATAGTCTTCCACAAACTAAGAGACACAAGAGAGAAAATTAATTAAGGAGCATTTCTGTGGTTTCTGATACTATAATTCTTTACACTTCTCCTTGTGCATTTCTTAAATGCTGTGATCCCTATACATTAAGAAAACCAGAAACCCAGAATAATTATGGATGGCAAGAAAGTAATGGATGGCTCATCAAATGACCAGCAACATGTACTGGGACCAAAGTAATGTTGCAAAGTATAATAAAGGCGAGTGTACAGCTCACATGCCTCTTCAGGAAAAGGGGGGAAATTTTATCATACTAAAATGTAAATTTAATTGTGGTATGAATTATGTTGATACAAGAAAAATTAGCAAATTTGGTCTCCTCAACAAAAACAAAAGTATATTGTCAATGAACTATTTTGAAAAGAAGTTCCTATTGGGACACAGTTTACTCCTTCTTTTTGAGTATACACATTTTTCACGTGGCATTAGCAGAATCCTTTACAAACTCTGGAATGGTCAGCCACATTCCTAGAAGCGCCTCTGATTGGATTCAGAAGAAACAGGAATCTGAGGAATAAACTAATCCAGGATGCCTGGAAATGAAACTATGTTCAACATACACAAGACGTTTTGACATTACTTGTGCTACCAAAAGAAGTGCTCTTGTTAACATGTGTTCTTGTAGGCTGTTACTTCTGGGGAAAATGTTACACGCCAGAAAAATCTCAATGTTAGAAGACTGATAAAAAAATGAGTTGTGTAATAGTCACTTAGGGCCCTTCCACACAGCCATCTAACCCAGAATATCAAGGCACAAAATCTCACAATATCTGCTTTGAACTGGGTTATCTGAATCCACCCTACCATAAATTCCAGTTCAGAGCGGAAAATGTGGGATTTTATTCAGCTGTGTGGAAGGGGTCTTAGATTTCTTGTTGCTGTTATAGACAAACTATTAACGCTTCCATATAGCTGGGATTATACTATGTTATTACAAAGGGAGGCATAATCTATATTTAAGCTGGGAACCGTATTTTCTTAATATTGGATCTGAGTTTGGACTATGTTCTTTCCCTTTTATTTTAGGATCTGCATACATATTGGTTAGGCTCTCAGTAATAATTACTACATAGTAAGTATTGTCATCATGTAACATTTCATTTAAAAACATGTTGTCTTTTTAGGTTCAGCAATTTTTCCCCATGCGAGTTCTGTTCTTAAACTGGGGTTTATAGGAGTCAAAATCCTTTTGAACACACACACGGTTTTACAATATTCAGTCACATACACTATACTTGTCTAATGTAGAAAATCCCCACAGTAAAAATATCACATGCAACAATTTAACATTTAGTTATATATTGTCTTTGTTTGCTGGGTAAACAAATTATATGAGACTGAAATCAATTCCCACAAGGTGTCCTCCCTCCGGTCACCAGAAATAATTTAAGCAATGTCAAAACCAGATTTATAGAATTCCATTTTTTATTGAGTTGAAATTCCAACCCAACCTAAATATTGCTGGTGTAACAACATGTAGTCACAGAACCACACAATTCTGGATAATGATAATGCTTTATATTATTGGTAGTACTTTTAGAATGCTTCATATACATACAAACATGAAGAATAATTTGAATCCAAAGATTTTGGGGGGAAAGAGCACCTACAGTTCAAACTAATCTAGAATCTCAGTTTTATGCACAGATTTTAAATCAATTGGCTCAAGACTGAAAAATGTAAGAATTTAGGACCAAAAACTGATAGGGAAGGCCAGGAAAAAAATTCTCTTTCCCAAGAATCAACTTCCATCAGCCTCATGAAACTTTCTGAAGTCATTTTTCTGCCATGTTAGATGCATACATACATCACAAAACATCTTACCTCATCATACATAAACTGAAGAGTAAGTGCTGACTTGCCCACGCCTCCACTGCCAACCATGATGACTTTGTGAAGGGCCAGAGAACTCTGGTTTTTTGTCTTGCTAGTAGCCATTTTCCTGTCTTGCTAGAAGCCGTTGTCAGATTTCACAACAACAGACTGACAAGCTATGAGTCAAGAAACAGAAATTACATTAAGCGATGCAAACCAAGTAGCCAGTTCTAGAATGAACATAGAGGCTTCTCAGTGTCATTTGAGGCCACAGAACAAAAGAACACATTTCTATATATTGAGACACTTGAGAAAGGAACATTTATGCAATATCCACAATTTCACTTGACATTTGAGGACAAAACATTTTAACACCAGATGAACATGTCTTAGGCTGATGTGCTTCCCAGTTCTTCTGGTTACAGGCACCAGGAAGAGCCTGGAAGAATTTGCTTCTGTTTTCAATCAACTGTAGTTTCCTGTTTTATCTGAATGAAGATGCAGGTTTCTCTAAACTGTGATTTGTCCGAACAATCCTAAAACAAGTCATGATTACGGATGTTGATTTATAGCAAAAAACTACAGTTTAAATTTATTGCTATGTTTAGCTGAAATTGTAAACAAATGTGCTGTAAGAGAGAGAAAGGCACATTTGCCCACAAAGCATGAAACCACTGCTTCTTAAACTGTGGGTCCCAATCCCAAATGGCCCGTAGGTCAGTGTCAGGATCATGAAAAAATTGGCAACAGTAAAAGGTTTCTGAATGCCACCTAGTAATAATAATAATAGTAATAATAATAATATTGAAGGGAGATGTTGACAAACTGGAATGTGTCCAGAGAAGGGTGACTAAAATGATCAAAGGTTTGGAGAACAAGCCCTATGAGGAGCAGCTTAAAGAGCTGGGCATGTTTAGCCTGAAGAAGAGAAGGCTGAGGGGAGACAGGATGAGGGCCGTGTATAAATATGTGAAGGACAAGTCGTAGGGAGGAGGGAGCAAACTTGTTTTATGCTGCCCTGGAGACTAGGACATGGAACAATGGCTTCAAACTACAGGAATGGAGATTCCATCTGAACATTAGGAAGAACTTCGCAACTTTGAGAGCTGTTCAACAGAGGAACTCTCTGCCCTGGAGTGTGGTGGAGGCTCCTTCTCTGGAGGCTTTTATGCAGAGGCTGGATGGCCATCTGTCGGGGGTGCTTCTTGGCAGGGGGTTGGACTGGATGGCCCATGAGGTCTCTTCCACCTCAATGATTCTATGATTCTAATACTTTGTTTCTAGACTGCCCTCTCTCCCCAAGAGGACTCAGGGTGTTTAGTAGTAATTTCAGACATTTACAAGAACCTATGAGTAACAATGTGCAGTGTTTACGGTGTTTTCTGCAAAAGATGTTTCAGCTGTACTTTATAAAAAAAGAAAAATCAATCTGCTTAGCTGATTTATTATCAGTAAATGTTTGACTTTATACCTATATACAGGGGTCACATAAATATTTCTCAGGTGAAAAGGGTTCATGAGTAGAAAACGTCTAAGAAGCCATGCACCAAACTATGGTTTGGCATGGCTACCCCTCTTCCAGGGAAGGTTAGGAAGATTCAGAAGGAAATCTGCCATTCAGATATGTTTATCATCCTCTTCTATAGAAAATGGATTCAGCCCAGACTTGTGAGAAGATCTTATTCAACCCACTCACAATGCAAAAATATGAATAACAGACAACGTGGGTTGAAAAAGAGAGACACAGATAGCCTGGGATGCCTCATGACCTCTGAGTTTCCTGTAGCTCTATTTGCTTTATTATTTTTTAAAGTCCCATAGTAAACCAGAAACTTTCAGACTTCCTAAGCTCAATTTGTTATGCTTTGTATGATACAAACCAAGAACTCCAGTATATTTTGGTGTGTTTTTCTCAAACAACAGTGCTTTCCTTGAGAAACCTTACAGCTTTAAAAACTGCACTGCAAAAACCACCAAGTTGGTAACCACTGAAACGGAAGACTACTACAGTATTTCAACACAGCTTTCAGTCTGAGTCATAAGGAAAACATTACAAGGGAAACTGGGAAAACCCATTTTAGAATATACAAAATGGCTTTGAGAGGGAAAAAAACTATCTTAATTTTCTTAGCACTTTCTCCAATTCTACTTGAAGTTGGTCCTTTTCCTCAACGCACTTGCCATGCAGTTGCTGTTTCAGTGACTTTCTCCAGCAAGGGACTCTCCCAGCCAACTGCGTTTTGCGATTTGCCCCTCCCCCCAGAAGGCAGAGAATGGAGGTTCCTTCGAACCTCCTAGAAGAAGGGAGGGGGCTGGCGATCCAGGGCACACAGATATTACACACTAAATAGCCGAGGACGCTGACTCGGCTAGCCACCAAGTTCCTAGACACATAGTTTAGTTCAGTTGAACTTAAATAGGTAACATTCAATAAAAGTTGCCCAATTTGAATCCATATCATTGTTGTCTGTCTCGTTATTTCTGGGGTTGAGGGGCAAAAAGCAGCCATTATTTCAGAACAGAAACTGAGGTCTTTGGACTAATCAGATGGAAACAGAACGCCTTTGTAAAAGCCTTCTAGTTCCCAAGTTCCAGAATTGATTTAAACTGAAGATAAATTACAGGTTGCTAGAGCAGTATGTTGGAATTATATCCTCACAAGGTCTGAGGGGCAAAAAGATTTGCAGAACACGAAACCAAACAGATTACAGTGCTTCAACCGACTCCAGCTATTGCTCCAAAAATTCGCTATTTTGTAGATCACTAAAATCCATTTAAAGATAGGTGACCCCCCCTTCCCAAATGTTACAATCACAGAATGGCTACCAAAATGAAATCTTTTTGGATGATCAGTAGAAAAACAGAAGACACACCCACATTGCTGTTCTTCTATGCATCAGAAAAGGTAAAAGACAGTAGAGCTCTCCCAATTCATGTTTGTCTTTACCCACTTACTGTATCGGAAAACATGAGGGAATGGAGGCTTTAGGCAGACTTCACTGCTCATTTGCAAAATACCCCCATGAAGTAAAATATACAATCTTTCTGAGGAAGACTGCAGAAGAGCAGTGACCACAAAACAGCTAGATGTCTTGTTTAGCAATCTCTGCAAGTCAAATCTATATAAATAAAAATGTAATTGTTGGTGGAATTAACATAACTCAAAAACCACTGGGCGAATTGACACCACATTTGGACACAATGTACCGATCAGGCCAACAAGTGACTATCACTCATAAAAACACTAAAAAACACAGCAGAAAATACTTTAAAAGCCAAAAGAATAAAAAATACATTACAAGGCATGCGCATAGCCACATAAATACACAAATATACACACACACATATACACATATATACACACAAAAAACACATACTCAGACTGGGCCACAACAACCCATGGCAGGGGACAGCTAGTTTAAAAATATTATTGATTAGGCATGCTATTTCAATGTTCAGTTATGGTAAGGTAAAGGTAAAGTTTCCCCCTGACATTAAGTCTAGTCAGTCATGTCTAGTCATGTCTGGGGCTCTGGGGCTGGTGCTCATCTGCATTTCTACACTGAAATAGAAATGCATTGTTCGTAGACACCTCATAGGTCATGTGGCCAGCATGACTGCATGGAGTGCCGTTACTGTCCCGCAGAAGCGGTACCTACTGATCTACTCATGTTTTTGAACTGCTAGACTGGCAGAAGCTGGGGCTAACAGCAGGAGCTCACCCCACTCCCCGGATTCGAACCACCAACCTTTCGGTCAATTATGGTAGCAAACTAGAAAACTTCAGATAACATAGACCACAAGTTTCATATCATCAGATCATTTAACTTTCATGTATGCACTGGTAGAGAAAGTGTGTGCATTTAAGCCTATGTTTTGTCACAAGACTAATGCAGCATTTTATTGTGATTAATACAGAGGCATTCCATGAAGTCCTCAGCAATACTCTGCTTGCCAAATGAAATTGGAAATTCAAAGGCAGCTGAACATTTTTTACTCATTCAAGAGTACATTCACAAAAATAAATCATCCAGAGGCAGGCTATAAAACCTGGGCCACCCTGTTAAGTACCACACTATTAATTTTAAGTCATGTGATTGCTATTTTGATTTGTTACTTGCACTTTCAAAAGCCACTTTAGCTCACAAAGGTTCACCTTTTGCTGTTCTGTGTGTCTAAATAAGATGGTTATTTTTGCTTCTCGCCCAGAGTCACTTAGCCAAGAACAATAGCTTAGAACAATCAAGAAGGTAAAAGGGTAATATTTTATGTACCAGAAGCAGACTTTAAAATAGAACAAAGCTAGACAATTATGTCTATTCTTATCTTGCGGTGCTTAAGTGGAAGAATATTGTAACACAGACCCAAAACCTTCTGTAAAAGGAAAAATTCAACTGAAGTCAATGCAAAATAGCTTCCATAATTCAGTCTGTTTTTGAAGTGTTGCCTGCTCTGAGCAATAATGCACATCCCTGTTGCCTAAAAGGGAACTTTATATGCAAAGTGCTTCCTTAATCTAAAATGCTGAGCAATAACCAAGGATACCTGCAACCTCCCACATTAAAAATCCCACAAAATGCAGTTGCCATGGCGACACACGAATCATTCTGCCTTATCTCTTGGGACCATATCATTATTTACCGAATCTAAAGAAATATCCTAGTTTATTTTATTTTATTTTTGGGCACGAACAGTCAAGTCATCCCAGCGGCCAAACCCAAAAGTTAGGGAACAAGCTGCTCAGTGCTCATTAGAGATAAAATCAGAATTAGTACTGAATATTAAAAGGGGGGAAGCTACTTTATACCAAATCACAATCAACACTACCATACAGCTCCAGTATTGAAGTAATTCATCAGCCATATGGAAATGCAGTTCACCAATCCAAGCCAAAACCTTAGCCAGGAATTATTCAATATAAATGGGTGTAACCATTTTCCTGGCTGGTTTTTTCTTCACAGGAATTATTCAACACTGATAAGCTGATAGCAAGACTACAGCACGAACAATTTCTACATCTGAAACACCCCTATGAATATGAATTCCCAAATGTCAACTGATTTTTTAAAAGCTTTGAAATCTAAGTGAAACAGATTAAGGAAACAGGCCCACAAAAACACTATTTTAATCCAGAACAACCAATCTAGCAATTTGAGAATTTGGACCTATTTTCCCA